TTAAATGCAATGTGATGTTAGTATTGTTAAATATTATTTTTGTTTATTCCTGACAACTATTTTGATGTTTATAATTACAGTATTGTATATAAGTTTAGAAATATTATCCTTAAGTATTAGATTAAAAGTGCTACAATTTAATGAACAGAATGGTGTTTTTGCACTTTTACCTTGCACTTTTAATTATATTGTTTTAATTCTAGGTTTAGTAGTTAAATTAAACATTGCGCTATGCATTAAAACGAGCATGAAACATAAAATTTAATATAAATACAGTGTGAATCAATACTGATACGGTATGATATGAATACAGATATGAATCACAATTTATAAATATTTTATTCTATATATGAATGAATAGTAAAAAAATATTATCAAACGTCTCAATTAAACATTAAATTATTACCGGTATAAAAAATATATTTTTGTAAAATAATATGAGCATATACAGACTGTATTATACAGTACAGTACCAAAATTACAAAGCTCCTTTATTTTAAATGTGAAATGTCTAAAATGATGTCATATTTACAATGAAATTTGAATTGAATTTTGGTGATAAAGGGATTGTTTATCATATTTCTACTATATTAGTATAATATTTCATTAAATATTATTTATAGACTTATTTTAAATAATATAAATGTAAGCAAAAGCGGATATTACAGTATGATACTGTAATAGTAAATTTCATTTATAAACATTTCACTCATTCTGCTGCAATTATTTAAATAGGGTAATAAATATATTAGTAATTAGATCTTAAATGCCTTGAACATTTGCTTAATTATAGTAATAAATAATTATGATTAAAAGTCCACATAATTTTGCAGTAAATGTAAAAATTAGAAACTAGTTCATTAAGATATGGACAGATTTGGTATATGAAGATTTAGCCCATAAAATGTCAAATAATAGTTTAAATAAAATATAAATTTTAATACAATTGAATAATAAGTGCATTTTAATAATGGGTTAATATTCTGATATCTACTGATATATTCACTGATAGTTTATTACAATTTTATTACTTTATTTGTCTGTTTAGTAGAAAAATATTCACAAATAGTAAATGACATGAAAAAAGACATTTCACAATTCAAATTCATTTCAATAAAATGTTTACACTATTCAGGAATTTGCGATAAAAATCTCATATATTTTTAGAGCAACTTTTATAATATTAAAAGTGTTTCCAAAACACAAACCCTTTTATTAACGAGACATTCATTAATAAACGCATAAATAAATTACTCACAAAAGCGATGACAAAATTTATTATTAAATAAAAACTCATATTTACAGCAAAAATCACGAAAATTCATCAGAAACACGACAAACAACTCATGTTTTCGATAATCAATACATTATTTCTCATAAAATATATCTCGCAATCGATGCATACTTTAAAAAAACTTCAATTCATTAAAAAATAACTACAAAAACATTTGCATTCAAACAAAACTCCAATCATTTCCTCCTTTGGGTGAACGAGAAGGCGTCGGACGACGAGCCGAACCCCGAGAAGCCGCCGCCAAACGGTGTGGCCGTCGGTTGCTGTGGAGACCCCTGTTGTTGGGCGCTGGAGGCCAGGGCTCCGAAACTCAGGTCACCCGCAGTGCTGGCAAACCTTAACCACAAAAACCAAATTACATTAAAACACACTCAACACAAACACACCTCCCGTTCCCCTCGCAATACATACCCAGTGTTGCCGCCGAACGCTGACTGCCCGCCAAACCCGGTGGAGCCCATGGACCCGAACGCCGGCGCCCCGCCAAAGGCCGGTGCGCTGCCAAACGCCGGCTGCTGAGGGGCGCCGCCAAAGGAGGGCGAACCCCCGAACGCCGGCTGTTGTGGCGAACCCCCAAACGTCGGCGAACCACCGAAAGCCGGCGCTCCGCCGAACACGGGTTGAGTCGGCTGTTGCTGAGCGACGGCGCCGGGACTTGACTGGAAGGCGGCGAACCCGGTCTGCGCCACACCTCCCGAACCGGTGCTAAAACTACCGCTCCCTCCGCTGCCAAACCCTCCGGCGGCGGGCGCCGTCTTGAACCCAGCGAACCCGGAGGGCTGGGCGTTGGCGGCAAAGCCGGTGTTTAGCGCCGGGCTCGAGAAGGCGCCGCCGAACGCGTTCTTTGAGGCGCTCTCAGCGCTGGGACGTCCGCCTAACCCCCCGAACGACATGTTGTTGAGCGCCGGCTGTTGCTGATTGAAGGGAGTGGTGGCTGGCGTTTGATTGGCTGCCGCACTACCGAAACCCGTAGACCCGCCGAACGCCAGTCCCCCACCAGTTGTTGTCGGACTACATATGTTACCAAAGGCTGGCGTCGCGGGACTGGTAGCCGAGGTGGCGGTCGGGGCCGCTGTGTTGCCAAAGCTGAACGAATTGGCAAACGGCGTCTGACCGAAAGCGGGCGCCGTTTGACCAAAACCTAGCGGCGATGTAATGGAGTCCGGCTTTTGAGCTGTAGTTCCGTTTGTCGGCTGATTGGCGGCTAATAGCGCCGCCAATGGGGAGGTTGTGGTCGATGGCTCCGATGTAGGAGTGGGCGGCCCTGTGATCAGTTGAGCCAACAATGAGGGCTTTGCTGTTTGTGGGGTACCGGCTGCCGGTGCAGAGGTAGTGATGGAAGCGGTGAGAGGTGTGGGCGACACGACATCCACTTTATTAATAGCGATCAGCGATGGTAGAGGTGTCGACGTCTGCGGCTTCGATGCGTTCTCCTTATCATCGCTCGATTGGCCCGAAATCAATGCCTTCAGAATAGACACCGGTTTCGCACCATTACTATCATCGGTGGGAACGGTAGGCGTCTGTTTGGGCACCTCTTGGGGCGCCGTTCGCTGTGGAGTAGAGGGCGGGCTGATGTCCTCGTACTTCGGCAACGGGTCCCTCTGTTTGGTGGCCTCGAGCGTCGAATTGAAACTGAAACCAGTGGTCGACTGTCCGCTCAAATTGAACGCCAGTTTGGCGGACGAGTCGTTCGTACCGCCGAACCCTTTGAAGGCCGTGAAGGGGCTGTTAGTGGCGGACGAGTCGTTCGTTTCGGACAATTCGGTGATAGTGTCCAACCGGTCGCGCGATTCGATGTCATCGTCATCGGGGGTCGTGTCCAACGGATTAATGATTGTTGTGTTTCCAAAGCTCACACTTTTGCTCGCATTAGATGGCGAGCCCTCCCGAACCGGCACAGACTTCTCGGGCTTCTTAGGCACCGACTCGGCGGTCGGTTTAGCGGAGATCAGGTTCTGCACTACCGGTGCGGCGGCAGCGGTGGGCGTAGGCTTTGCCGGCGTAGACGATATGGGAGTGGACTTGAAGGCAGTGTTGACGGGAGTGGCGCTGAGACTGAAAGAGAGCGGTTTGGAGGCAAACGACTGGAAAACATCGGCCGATTTGGCGGCGCCCGTAGTTTTCGACGGGACGAGGGGTACGGTAGGCGTGGATTTGGCGTTGAGATCGAATGGGGAGGAAAGTGATGGCAAATTAAGCGACAATTTCGGTGCGAACGCCGGCGTCGTCGCCGTCTCGACCGGTTTGGTCGGCACCGGCCTCTCGGGACTCTTCGTGACGACAGTTGGCGTTATTATCACTTTATTATCAATGGATGTCATCTGCGGCGCGACTGCCGGTGCTGTCAGTGGCGGCCTCTGGTCGGCAGCGCTTCTGTTGGCCACAAATGAGTCGCTTTTCGCGGGACTCGCCGTTTGTATCGACTTCTCCTTGTCTTTGAGTTTCTTAATGGCGGACATAAACCGCGACGAGTTGTCCACCGCTCGACGCACCGGTACTTTCGCCCGGTTCTCGAAGAATTGGCGCAAATTATTGAGCTTTTCGGCGGATATAGTCTTCAGTTTAAACACGCGATCGATGGGTAGGTTCGCGTCGGGAATGTCTTTAATTGTCGTCTTATCCATCGTTTGCGACAATTTGTCCACAAGTTTCTGGTGCGACGAGTCGGGCGTCGACCCCTCCCGAGAGCCCACCCCTCCCCGCGCGCGCACACGTAATGGCGATACACTGTCAGGGGAGGCGCCATCGATGGAGTCGACGTGTATTTTTAGAGCAGAGATCGCCCGCTGATTGTTCGCCAAAGTCTTGTATATGAGATCCAACCCGGAGTTCCCCTGTAGTCGCGCCGGCGGTTTACCTTTCAATGCCTTCCGCTTATCCAAAAACTCATACCATTCCTGTTCAAACTTCGCGTCCAATTCCCTCAACTGAGTTTCAATGTAGGCGTTGAGCGCCAGTATGTCTTGCATGCGTCGGCTGGTGATGGGGTCGAGCGCCCTCTGTCTCAGGAGATGCCTATAGTTGGGGTCGACGTTGCGATTCATAATACTCTTCGCCTCCTCCAAGAGCGAGAACGACTCGATGAGCGACGACTGTAGTGTCGACGTGTCTCTCCCGGTGCTCCGGAAGTTCTCTTTGATCTCTTTGAGCACATCCTCTATAAGCCGGGTATCGCTTCTGAGTCTCATTTGTTCCTCTTTTTCGCCAATTTTTACTTTTATTTGGGAAAACTTTTTCGACGTCTCGGCCATCAGTTTCTTAAACTCAATGATCTGCTCCTTAATGGCAGTCATATATAGCTCGTGAGTGGCGGCAGCGGTCTCCTCGGCCGTCGGACTCTTGGCACCGGTGGCTGACTGTCCACCGCTCGCGTGATGCGACTTGTATTCAGGTGCCGGTAGTGTCGACTGATGTACCGGTTGTTGATTCGATGCAGGCGTTTGTGGTTTAGGTTCCGGTGGTTTTGGCACCGCTTTTATCACATCTGTGGTCAGACTGGGGACGGGAGTGACAGGTATGCCAAACGCTGGCGCACTCACCTTCGGAGTAGGTTTTGTATGCAAAG